CCTGAGATTTAATAAAATAAATGAATATTTATTGAATAGTTTCATTTTCTAATTTAAAAGTATATCGATATTTAAGTGTATATTATGTACGTTATATTTCGATAGATAACGATAAGTCTATATATGTATCGATTTAAATAAAATCGAAGATAATCGATTTTTTGTTAATAACGATAAGTATCGATTTATATAATTTCGATCATAATCGAATTTTTGTAAATAACGATAAGTACCGATTTAAATAAAATCGAAGATAATCGATTTTTTGTAAATAATGATATGTATCGATTTAAATAATTTCGAAGATAATCGATTTTTTGTTACTATCGATACATATCCATCTATCGATATATATCGATTTTGATATATATCGATTTATAACTACCCTGCCGATATATATCATTATATTTCAATCGATATATATCGATTTTTTGATATATATCGATTAGTAACTATCCAAAAATTTTCCTGATGCACCTAAACCCCCTAACACAAAAAAAGGACAATACTCGTACTTACCCTAACCCTAAATATTAAAAATGGGTAACTTATAAAAATTGAATTTTATAAGCCTACGTACATTAACCTTAAGTCCAAATACATATAATTTTCATGTAAATCCATCCAAATCTGATCATTGTATCATATAGCACTACGAATTTTACCAAATATCTTTTCCTAACTACACTTAAATCTGATATTCAAAGAAAAAATCATGATAATACAATTATATATATGCCAACCAAAGTTCATAAATTGCAACATAAGCAACATAAACACCCTCCCGTTACTTAACCTTCAATAATTTTTTAAAAATTCAATTTCAACATACTAACAAACATAAATTCGTGACAACATAAATTCATGAATTGCAATCTAAACATAAACACCTTCGCATTATTTAATCTTTTGCTTTTAGCTTCATAACTATTCTTTCAAAGAACAGTTTCGAGAATCATGATACCATGACTTACACAAAGCACATTGACGTTTGTTTTTCTTTTTTGACCCAGACTCTGATATTTCGTCTTAATTATTTGAGTGAACAAGTTTGTTATTCTGATTCTCAATAGCAGACAAATATCTCTTATTTGTGGGGTGCCCCTTGCCTTTATGTTGAGAAGGGTTTGAAATTATAAGATTATTAATTTCTTAACCTATGCCTTGTTCAGATAAGTTTGAAGCAGTACTACTACTTTGTGCTAAAACCTGTTCATTAATAAAATGTTGCAGTAGGTCCTCTAAAACCTTATTGGTATTATTCATAATCGCGATATTTAATGCTTTTTTACAAATTCCGAGTCCACAACTATAAGAAACTTTTTTTGAATCTGATTCTACGGCAATTTTACTATTAACTTCTTGACCACAAATTCTTTTTAATGTTTCAAATGTTACAGTTGGAAGTGATTTACTTTTACTTTGTACTAGCTGGATAGTTAATTCCTGATCTTTATCAAATAAAGCAATACCTTCTTCAGAATACCAACGAAAAGGTATTAACTTTATATTAAAAAGTGCATTTTTTGATTAGATCATTACGGAAAAAAAATGTCAACAGACAAATCCAGCATATATCAAATATAAACATGTACAATAATGTGTACTGTCATCAAGTAAGACAACAAACTATGAATGGTTTGTAGTACTTTGGATATGCTTGATCTCCCAGACTTTGATCACTACACTATCAGAACAATCCTCTAAAGCCATATTTAATAAGATCTGTGGCTCCTCATAATCATCTTCGATAAATCCCACTTTATGATCCAATTGCTGACTAGCACTAACATTAAGCTCATTATTATGTAGTAAAGACCTATATAGAAGGCTTTCTAAAATTTGTTTTCGTTGTAAAGCTAACGAATTTGGTGTAAGATATTTTACACACATATCATTAATTTTCTTAAAAATTGTATTGAAAACATGCGGAAGTCCAGTAGTGGGATTCATATTCCTAAATTCTTGTAACTTTGCATACTTGATCTCATCCTTAAGTCGCAAGTCGATTCCAGCCTGAAGTTGGCATAAAGAACTTCCTGAGTTTGCAACTTTATAATACAATTTATATATTTGACACATTGTGTCAAATGTGTATTTGCTGAAAATTTGCGCTTCGTAAATGCATGTGCCCAACATTCTTTAGTTGAATATAAAACACGATCACAATAACTTTGAACCTCTGAATAATTATTCATTAACTCCATCCAACGACGATCAAAATCAGATACTACAAGAGAATTTCACAAAGCATAAAAATCAGAAATAAAATTATCCCATCTATTATTAAGCTTTTTCTTAAGCCTTTTAACTAGATTTTGCTGAATATGAAATGCACAATGCCTAACAATAGCTTCAGGATACTCATTTGTTATAGCTACTTGCATCGCTGGATCAGCATCTGTAAAAATTATTGTTGGTTGAAGACCATTAGTGGCTAATTTAGTTTGTTTTAAGATCCATTTGTAAGTCGACACTGTCTCATCAGAAACTACAGCTGTGGCTGCAATACGACTTCTGTTATTTGAATCAATTACAATAAAAATGCTTAAAGGCATCATATATTTGTTCATTTTGCATGTGTTGTCATTAATAATGACATCATAAAACCGAGCCCATAAGCATCTCTAGTCAGGGGACATCCAAAAAATCCTGGAAAGCCTATTATCAATGCCTTCAAAGTCTACCTTAAAGTACCAGTCAGGATTTTCTTGTTGCACTTTTGAAAGATATTCATATAAAGTTGAGGCATCGTTTTTAATCTGAGCTTCAGCTCTGTATTTGCAAATCATATTGTAAAGATCTCGATTGTAAATTTCTTGATCAGGAAATTTATTTTGCAATATTCGTTTTAAGACAGTTGCCCCTAATTGACATTCCTGAACATAAAACCGGAACTCTTCTTTAATATTGTCAGGCACCTTACGCAAGGACAGTGAAAATTGCAAATGTAATTCTTCTTTATTTAATACGTGATTATGATCCTCAGTGAATTTATTAACGAAGACAAGATTCATATGTTTCTGATATGAAGCATTCATAGTAAATTCACACTCAATATGACCAGATTCTCGATCTTGATTTTGCATAGGGTCTAATTTTTTCTTAGGTAAGTATTTTCCACTATGTCTACATTTATATGTCTTACGAATGAAAATATTATTCTCCTTTTCAGCTCGCACTATTTTCGTTTCAAATCCTATTCTAGTTGAATAACGTTTTAGACATTGTTCGAGCATGTCAAACGAGACAAATGTCTGTCCAACATAAATTTCTTTTAGAAGACTATCTTCAGATTCGTTATCCAAACTACCATTTTCAGATACAAGATCTTTGCCCTCTTCAATTACTGATAAGTCATCATCTACTGCTATAAGTTCAGGTGGAACCAGATTGATGCTGTCATCTGAAAGTTCATAGTCCACATAAGATTTGTCAAAATCATATTCATAACCTTGAATTTCAGACATCTGAAAAAAATTTCTAGGTTAAATTAATTTGACGAAGAAAATAACATTGCTGAACAAAAAAAAAAAACAAACGAAATTACCTTGCAAAAAGGAAAAAGCCCACACAACAAAAAAAAGTGCCACATGAAAGAAGCAAGATCTACACAAAAGAAAAAACTATGAAGAGAAAATAGCAACACCAATAAAAAAAACCGTAAAGAAAGTACCACGCTAAAAAAAAAAAAAAAATTAGAGAAAAGGGCCATCAAACAAAAAAAGCCGTGTGAAGAGAAAAGAGACACATGAAAAGAAATAAGAAAAAGAGCCATAAAAAGAAGAAAGTCATGCACGAAGAAAAAAAGCCGCAAAAAGAAAAGGGCCATGCCAAAAGGAAGTTGTGAAGAGAAAGTGCCACACCATAAGAACCATGAAGAGAACCACAAGAGAAAAGCCATGCCAAGAGAAAAAGCCGCAAAGAAAAAGAGTCATGCCAAAGGAAAAGGTCGCAAAAAAAAAGAGCCATGCCAAGCGAAGGAGAGCTGTGAATAGAAAGCGTCATATGAAAAGTCCCGTGAAAAGAAAGTGGCACATGAAGAGAAAAGTGCCACGAAAAGAAAAGTGCTATACCAAAAGAGCCGTGAAGAGAGCCACAAGAGAAAAGAGCCACGCCAAAGGAAAAAAGCCGCAAAGGGAAAAGAGCCATGCCAAAAAAAGAAGAGCCACGAATATAGTGTCACATGAATAGCAAAGAGCTGTGAATATAAAGTGCCGCATGAAGAGAGAAGAGCCATACCAAAAGAGCCATAAAGAGCCACAAGAGAAAAGAGCCATGCCAAAAGAAAGAAGCCACAAAAGAAAAAAACCACACCAAAAAAAGGAGTGCCACAAAGAGAAAGTGTCACATGAAGAAGAACTACATTAGTAAAAAAAGCTACATAAAACAAAAAAAGACAAGAAAAAAATAACTCACGTACAAAAGTCAAGCCATGTAAAAGCAAGAAAAAAGTGCCGATTAGCAAGAGAAAGATTTGTGATTACAAAAAAATAACAAGAAAAAAAAATTTTATATGTGGAATAAGCTATGTTAACACAATAAGTAAAAAAAGTTAAAAGGAATAAGCTATGTTAACAATAAGTAAAAAAAAGTTAAATCAGTAAAATTTTATACAATTGATAAGTAAAATGATGCATAATTATGACTTCATATAAGGGTGGATATTAATATCCATTGGTGTTATATTAATTTTTACTTTTAATTATATATATATATTAATATACTATATATTAGGGTGTGACAACCTAGTAAAGTGATCAGGTTGTCAACTTTCCAAGTAGTAGGTTGGGTGTTCAATTCCTATCAACAGCAAAAATTTGGATAATCATCTATATAATATTTGTATTATGGCAACTGTTACTAGGCCTCCACATGGGCTGGGTAAAGCTGGTTAGCAGCAGTACCCTAACTCTACCCACTTGTGTAAGGGCTTGATTTTCAAGCCCTTACCCTTACCCTAGGGTATAAAGCTAAATATCCAAGCCTGGTTCATTGGCTCATGGGTACCTGTGAACTACCTGTGGGCCCAAATATGATCCTATCAAAACTATTCAAGATTTGATTTGCAAGCTATCTACTCTTAGAATAATATCCTTTTAATATAGTAATCAGGTATAAATAAATATATTATAATATTCCTGGGATCGGTATTCTGCTAAGTGTAGTAATTATCTGACATGATATACACTAATTTTTTACATGTACTTAAAATAAATTACATATGTAAATTTTTTTTTTTTTTACCAATTTCTGTGCTATATGATACTATTTCTGTGATTAAATGCACTTATTTTAATTATTACCTTATTATTTTGTGGATTACTGTCACAGGGTAAGCCAATAGGGCCTTCTCTACTGCAAATCCAGCTCAAGTACATAAGCACCTTGTTGACTCAACCTCTTCCCTTCTACATCAGACGGTTCTTGGTGTTTTGCTATTCTACATGCAGCTTAATGATACCTCAATGTCGACACACACGTTAGTACAAGACCAGTTGTGAATAAGCACTATTTATTTATTTATTTGCGCACCTTTTATTTACTAGAAGACGGAGCGAAAGCTACCTTTTTTTATTACCAAATCTTTAACTCTATATATACTAATTTATAGTCTATTAGACTCAAATTAATTATACACTCCCATTTATGCAAGATAATGCAAACTACAATAAACCACTAATCTATGATGTTCAAACTATGATCTATGCTACACAAATTACTAATATGCTTTCGCATACTTTATAAATTTGATCGATGCATTAATGCTACCCAACCAATCATAATACCTTTTCTCAGATTTAGATATCAGTTAAATGCTATTTAATTCGATAGCATTTATATATGCTTTAAGTATTTTGCTGGTTTTTAAAAAAATTATATGGTGTTCTTAAAACACAGCAAATAATCATCCTTATCTGACTACTAAGGTATTAGTTTTTATAGAGTTATTATACAATAAATACCTGAGCACATATTATGTGCAGTTTATTTAAAAAATCTGATTTGAAATAATCTTATTTGCTTTTACAATTCTTAAAATATCAAGCAAATTGTTGTATAATCTGAATTGTAACAATATCAGCTCAATGCATATGAAATTTCAAATTGATTATTGTTACTAAATTAAATCGAATTGGAGTTTAAAAAAAAAAAAACTGATAAGACAGTTACAGCATTGAAATTTTGCAAAAATAGAAGGAATTATTCCAATTTATTATCAAATGAAATTAAAAATACTAATACCAACTTTCTAATTTAAATTTGACCTTTAATTATATATTGTATAAAAACAAAATAAATTGTTTCAATTAACTAGAAAATGCCTTTTGTTAAGTTTTTTTTTTTTTTTTTTTTTTTTTTTTTTTAATAGCATTACTGGTAACATCATATAAATCATGCAACCTTCTTTTTTGCTAGTTATATTACCTTTTGTATAACTAAAATAAAATTAGTATAAATTGGAAATATTCAATAATTCAAAAATTATATTTAAAATACCTTGTTTAGTAAATGTTTTAGGTTAGAAGTCTCATCCAGACTTTGTTGCCATCTCTAACCAATTTTACTGACACATTAATGCAGCAACTGTGTTGTGATCTAATGAGGTATGATTATAATTAATGATATGACCTGCACAACTAAACATTTGTTCTGATGTGACACTAGTAGATGGTATTGCAAAGAAGTCTCAAGCCATTGCTGATAAATTTGGAAAGTGATCTTTATTAAGTTTCCACCATTCAAGAATGTTAGTAGTTTTAGTAGCAATTGGTTTATCTAAATATTGATTAATTTCATAAAGTGCATTATCTTCATTAACTCGAGATTTTTTGATTGTATATTTAAAAAAATCGTCAACATGATTCTCAAATATTGGTATATTATCTTTAGCATTAATGATAACTTTGTTGTGAGTGGTTAAATGTTTAACAGTTGGTGGAGAATAGTAAGTTTGAATATATGTATTCTCAAATCTAATTTTTATAATTAAGTTAGTAACAAAGTTATAAATAATTGTCATGACTGAAATTTAAAATTTTTGGAATGCGTTTTTTTTTTTAGAGTTTAGAATTCATGATTAGAATTGTTTGTAAGAGTATAAATAGATTTAGTAGGTTTAGTAAACTTATATTGAGCCCAAATCTTAGCATCAGCTGTGACAATAATTATATAATAAATTAATAAATATGCATACTTTATTCTTATATTTTGTAGTTTGTCATTGAGATTATCTGATTCTAGCTTTTCCTTTTTACGATAATAGAATGAGACAAATTGCAACTTGTAGCAAGAGTCAAGAATACATGCAACCATATATAGAAAGCCACCATCTTCCTAATACTTATTAAACTTTTCTATTATAGGTTCACAAACATTACGAATAAAATCTTCAGTATAGGATCTCATGCCGAGAAGATGAGTACGAATATTCAAGATAGAAGCAAAGGCATTATTAAGAGTCAGATAGGAATTTGCTAATGTTTTAAGAGTATCTATTTTTATAAAATTAAATTAATACTTAGTAAAGATTAATCTAAGGTTTATGACATGGTAAATTTACTACCAAAATGCGATATAATAAATTTTTTAAAACTGATTAATTAATAAATATCATACAGTCATAAAATGGTTTTAAAATAGTACAAATATTATCTGCCTTTTTTCATTCCTCTTCATCTGGTATATCGGGAAAGGTTTTGTTACAATCTTTCATTCTAATAATCACAATTTTCATTTTTATTGCTGATTGTAACATTTTATATGTGGAATTCCAATGAGTATTGCAATCTAATGATGGAATTACAGGACTTTCAGATTCATATTTACAAAGATCTAAATAGATTTGACATCACTTCAGAGTTGTATATAGTGTTTTAATACAACTATGAATCTAAATAAATTCAAAAAAATATTTAAAAAATTATCATATATTAAATTTAAATAATGTATAACTACCTTGTAGATTATTTCTGAGATTTTTTTTAGACTGTCTTTCATGATTAGATTCAAGATATGAGCAAAGCAGCGGTTATGAAAAAACTCCTCACTCATATTACTATAAAAATTTTAGAAAATATGATTTGCCAATTCACGAATTGCAACATTATTTGAACTTGCATTATCAAGAGTAATAGTTTGTAGCTATAAAATAAAAAGTATTAATATATATAATGTTAGAATTTTATACATGATTGAACAATTCTGCCTGTTTAGTTTGTTGCTTTACTGTTAAACTTTGATAATTTAAGTCAGACCAATTTAATTTGGTATTACATTACATTCTCTTCTCAAAAGGGGGGACAAAAAAATGGAATTTGTATATTAAATTGGTTTGGTCAAAAAAAATTAGCATAGAGAGTGAGGATAATGTAAACCATCGAATTGAATTGGTCTGGCCTTATTATAAATATATAAGTAATAGAGAAAGAAAACCTGCAAATTAATTCATAAACTATTATAATAAACTTAGCCCAAGAATTAATCACATAATAAATATATTACCAAGTAAATAAGATATATTGAGTCTGAGACTGATAATATAAACCTCCATTAACTAATTTACAGATTTTCACTTCTTATTACTTAAATATTTAGTTTGAATCTGATAGTCACTGATCCAAAATGGTTTTTCTTGACACTTCACTTTTCATATTTCAAATTATTTTTTATTCTAATCGGGTTTACAATTAGGATTATATCCCTATTAAAAATAGAATATTGTTAATATAATTTAAATATGTAATAGATAACATTCACTAAATTTAGTTTATTAAAATTACATTAACAATCTAAAATTCGGATATACTAACTTTTCATTAAATATATATATCAGATTCACAAGTACTCAGTATAATTACAGGTATTTATTTTAACAAAGCAACCATAACTCACAAATTTTAACTCTTTTTTGAGCTTTATAGGTTAGTTGTAGCATAAAAATAACAAGAGCACTTGATATTTGATATATAAGTTTTATTATTTGCTTATTAATTTGAATAAACTCTATATTGATTATCACATGATCATGACATTTTCTACCACAATCAACCTAAATTAAATGCATTATTACTCTTTCATTACCTTATTAGTAATTAAATACACATCTGTTACTACTTTAATGCAATTGGCAATATTGACTCCAGAATGAGAAAAGGGGATTAATCTAAATGATAGTAAAATAAAAATAAGATTCCAGTTTTTATCAAGAAAGTGTGCAGTAATCGATAGATATTCAAGTTGCTGAAGCAACATCCAAATATCACAAGTTAGAGAGATTTTGCCCTTTGCACTTTGAAGGATTTCTTTAATATAAACCTTTCTTATATCATATGCTTTTATGATATCTCGCTTTACTATATCAGCACTAATAGTAAAGTTGGGTACTAATCTATTAAATAACATTCAAAACCCTTGCTTTTCTACAAACTGAAAACTTAGTTCATCTCTAATTATCATATCAACTAAGTTTTTTCGAATTGAGTCATTTGAAAGTTTGATTGTTGGACTAAACTCCAATTGCATTTGACCTTTAGGTAGTTCTGCTGAACCTTTTTTAAAAACTGATTTTTGATACTTTCTGCATGATTTGAGGTGACGGTGAAGGTGAGACATTCCAGTACTCTTTTTATGACTTAGTTGGTATTTACAATAATTGCATATAGCTTTTTGTTTATTTGTTAATAAAGAAAAATACGCACAGACAGAAGACTTGTTTTTTTGTAAGTTAACTGGATTGATAATGGATGACTCTAGTACTTCCGATGTTGAAACAGAATACTCTGAACTTATTTCATTTGTGACATCTTGATTGTGATTATTCTCGTCATTATTATTCTGATTGTAGTTGTTGTGATCATAGTTATCCTGATCATAGTTATCCTGGTCATAGTTATCCTGATCGTAGTTATCCTGGTCGTAGTTATCCTGGTCATAATCATTCAGATCGTAATTATTTAGGTCGTAATCATCCATGTTTAGTTCAATAATGACTTGTTTTTATTTTTTATTTTTTGTTAACTCAGTTTTGTTAGTGACTTTTTTTTTTTGTTAGTTAGATTCTTTGGTAGGTTTGATTGATTTCATTAACTGGTTTCGTTGGCAATTTTTATTTATTTTTAATAATTGATTGTTTTGTGTTAAACAGGTTATAAACAAAGAGTAACTTTTAAAACTCTTAAAATTTCTTAAATTTGATACTTATTGGTTTCTGTTATATTGTAAACTTGATTAGAATAAAGTTATTACTCTATATGCACATCATTTCATATCATTATAAATAAAGCGTAACTCTTAAAATTTTTAAAACTCTTAAAACTTTTAAAATTTCTTAAATTCGATTCTTATTCATCTCAGTCATATTATAAACTCGTATTGACCAAATTATAAATAAAGTTATTACTCTATATGCATATTGTTCCAAATTGCCATAAAATAAGATTTTATTAATGATGAGTTAATTTTATTTGTTTCTGTCATGTTGTGAACTTGAATAAACCTGGTTTAAAGTTACAACTCGATACATGCATTGCAACCAGATCATTATAAATAAGGTTATTCTTATTAATAATTTGATCAAATAGGCATTCATTCTTTCTAAAAAATCATTAAAAAATAAATACTATCACTATATCCTTGGTATTGTTTTTTTTAACAATTTATACCTATATCTGAAGCAATTAATTTTTTTTTTGTTGCACATTTAGAAGTTATACGAACAAGCAAAAAAATCAAATTGATTGGCTGAATCTATGCATTTATGCTCATGTAACTTCGAATTCGTAATATTAATATTTTTGATGAGTACCTTCTGAAATATGAGCTAGGTATAATAATATACTAAGCCCTGCCCTTATATATAAGGGTTTGGCTTCTGAGCCTTTACCCTTATCCTAGGGTTTAAAGTCTAGCACCCTAGCCCAGCCCTTATGATACTACCTGTAGGTACCTGTAGGTAGCCTGGGCCCATGCGGAGGCCTAACTGTTACTAATAATTGGGTTAAGATACTTGTAATGGTAGTTGCACCAGCATGACTGGCAGGTCATAGGGCATTCATGTAATAGGTCACATGATATTGTCCTTTGGAACAAGGTTGTAGTTACATAAAAGAATGCAAACCAGTAATTAGGCAGTGCAAACACTAGATAAGTCCTTGTGGCTATGTAAATCTATTGAAATTGGATAACAAAAAGTCTATTTGGAAAAACTCGAGTAGAAAGATAGCCAGATCTTCAATGGCTCTACTGTAAAGGCTAGCCTTATGAAACAAATACCAAGGTCAAAGTAGCCAGACAGGCAAAAACCTCTAGGTGGAGGGTACTACCAACCAGGCTGCCAGATCGAACTAGAGAAAAAGGATATCAAACCAATCTGATATACTAATGGACCAGTTGTAAGTCCTATTAGGTTATCTGAATTGGGAGTTTGGTAAGCCAGCAGAGGTATACTAAGGTATTTAGATATGCTATGAAGTAGATGCTAGAGTTTGTGTAAACTTTACAAGGGCATAGTGGTTTAATGATTAGCCCTGACCACAAATGTTAGTTCTGCCATAGCGATACCTAGGTCAGCTATAAAAATGGGTACAGAAGGCTCTGAGGAGTTAACCTCGAAGATAAATTAGTCCTAAAGTTAAGACGATGATCTGAGCATCTGAGATAACCCAGTGATGTTAACACAGGTTACAGGTTCAGAGAGTTTAAAGTAGAACACCCAAGCAGAGGTGTTAGGTATGACAATTGGTAAAGAACCTTCAGGCAGACTTCTTAAATAGATAATATAAAAAAGTTATATGTATAGCCAATTGTATACTCTCCTGTAATAGTTCATTGAACCACAATATCGATAAGTGATTAATAAAAGTCAAAAGACCAAAGAGGTCATCTTAATACCAAAAAAAAAAATAAATAAATTGTGAAATATAATAAAAATAATAATTTTTACTCTTGATAACCTATACAAGGATTATAAAAAACCAGAAATTAGTAATAAATGACTATGTCAAGTTTATTACAAATTTTTTTAAATGTATATTGCTAATCATGAAGAATTATTTACTTATATTTCATATAATTTGCTTTAGATATAGAACAAAAGACATTTTTTTAATAAATTCTGGTTACTAATGATTAACTTCGTAAGCTTTCATTATAAATTAGACAAAAGATTTTGTTAAAATATTTTTAGAATATTCTTAAAGCAGTTTTCAATTATCTAAGCTTCATGCTTAGTGCTATTATATGATATCTGCAATTTAAGAATATAGATCAATAAATAGTATGACTACAGAAATTTACAAAATTCTTTATAAAATTATATAAAAAGATCTTATTATATATTAAACAAAAAAGACTATATAAAACAAATATTAAGAACAATATGTTTATAAATTTAGTAACTTATCATTATTTATCACTATGCATTAGTTAAATTATATTTTAACCAAATAATATATTGTAATATATAGCAAAGTAATAACTTAATTATTAGATAATATATGTATTTATTTTTTTTTATTTAATTTTTTTTTTTTAACTTAAGCAGTCACGCTAGTGCTTTATTAAGATTTTGAAACTACATTTGCAATTACATAAATATCCTTAACAACTAAGCCTAGCATCACCCGGCCACCCTAATGGTACCTAAGTGCAACCTGCTGCATTACTTCAAGCAGAAGTAAGCTGCTTGTCTGACTACTTAAAGTCCATAATGAAAGGGTCTTCTTCCTTCCATGACAAGCTCTAAAATTGTTTTCTGTACTTCTTTTCTGATTTGGTTTTCTTTTTCTTTCACTTTCTCTTTTCTTTCTTCAATTAATTGCTGATTTGTTTTTCCCCTTTTACTTGATGCTTTCTTCTTTTTTTCTTTCCTTCTTTTTATTCTACCTATTATTCCTTCATTTTTTTCCTACTCATTGACTTTCTCATATCGGATTCTGCATACTTGTTCGTAAAATGTGTCTCAGGCTGTTCTTGCTACTATTTCTATAAACTGCTGTCTTGATTTTGTACTTAGGAGCTGCCTCAATCTGTTTTGTGTTTCTTTTGGAATAAGACCTTTAATTAATGTCTCTCTTGTTTTGATTTTCTCTGCTTCTGTTTTCCCAAAAAGTGCTGTGTATAATACATATGAAGGGACCTGAACTTTTTCTTCTTTTTTTAATCCCTTCCAAGTTGTTGCAATAGTTACTTTTTGAATTCTTTTCTACAGGTTCTTTTGTTTCTTACATGCTGTCAGATGTGTCTGTGTTTCTTTTGTTTTATCTTGGCACATTTGGCATTCTGTTGTTGTATATACCTCTGGTCTTCTTTTGTTTAATTCTTCTAGGATTGGAAGCTTGTTCATTATGCACTTTATAAATGCACTTCTTCTGGTATTACTTCTTTTTGTTGTGCAATATACTTCTTTCAATATCTTTAGCCTATTCCAAAAATATGTCCAATCATAAATTGTAACTTCTGTTTCTGGTTTTAATTCTTTAATTGTTTTAGTTTCTTTCTAATCTGCTCCTAATCTTGCATTTGCTATCAATTTGCATAGTAGTCTTGCTAGTATGTCAGTACATTTGTTTTCCCACTCTAAGCAGTACTCTATTTTTTCACAACTGACTTTTCTGACCTGTATTATTTCTTTACTTGTTGCACCTTTTTTTGCTAAACTATCAGCTTTATTATTCCATCTATCTTTACTGTGGCTCTTAACTTTAATCAACTTTATCTGAATGTTCTTTGTTCTAATAAGCTCTCTAATTTTCATTATCCATATTGCATTCTTTTTTTTAAAGATCTTATTTCTGCAAACTTGTTCTAAATCTCTACTAATGTTTCTTATTGCTGTATTGCTATCTGTATATATTTCTATTTGTTTCTCTCTTGGTATCATTAAGATTGCAGCCCATATTGATACTAACTTAGCTATTGTCAATGTTTGCTATCCTTCTAAATCTAATGCCATCTCTTCTTCTGGCCATTCTTGTGTTTCATCTGTTTGCACCCACCCTATGCCCATACTGCTTCTGCTTTTTGTATCTTCTTTAGTCTTCAGGTTTGCTGCTCCATCTGTATATATTATATACTTGTTCTTGTTTCTTGTTATATTCCTTCTTAAAACTTCTACTATTTTTTAACTAATGCTGTCTTTTAACTTTTGTTGTCTGACTATCTCTATTTCTGGTTCTTCTATTATTCTCAGTTCTTCAAGTTTCTGTTCTTCTATCACTGATTTGCTTGTTTCATTACTTCTGTTATTTGATCTATTGCTATCTTGATCTTATTACTGCCTTTTTTTATCAATGCATTAGGGATCACATTGATTCTGTTATTTACTCTTATTCACTGTTGGCAGCTATCTTTCAGATGCTCTTCTTCTCTTGTATAACCTTTACATTTATTAATTTTGATAGCTAATTCACTTTCTTTACTCTGCATTTGCCAATGTTCTACTAGTATTTTTTTCTTTTTCTTTTTAACTATCTTTCCCAACTGTCAGTTGTTCTGTGCACTATATATTATCCATTCTTTTCTTCTTTTGTCTTCTGAGATACACTCCTATCTCATCTGCATTGCTTGAGTGTTTTGTCTAATTGTTCTATATTGTCTTTTAATTTCTTTATTTTCTGGTCTAATGAGTACTTCTCATTCTATCATTTTAAACCATTCTGCTTTTTTTCCCTTACTTGATAGACCTTGGTAACTTTTCAGCTGCTGTCATGTGATTAATCTCTCTTCTTTTGTATCTACCAGCTAGTTTAGATATATTATGCCTGCTTCATTCATTCTTATATTACTTCTTTTTTTGTAGTTGTATATTTATAAGTTCTTTTATTTTGATTCCATATCTGAACATTGTCCATAGATTGTCTTCTGTTTTTATATTTATATTAAGTTTTCTTGCTTTTAACAATGTCAAACAAGCTAAGTTATTTTCCTAACCTTCTATATTTTCTGGCAACTCCTTTATTTTCTATATATCTTCT